TAAAGCCTTTAACCACATGACCTCTGGAAGGTTTTACCCCTTTGACCAGGGTATTTTTTTGCCATTCAGCCCAGTGCTTGAACTGGCAATTACACGGTCATGCAACACTACCCAAATTAAATTTAAATAATTTAATCACACAAATAGAGCTTTCTTTTGGTAGTAACTGATCACCACTGGGACTTTTTTTTTTTTTAATATAAACAAAAAAAAAAAAAAAAGTCTGTGCGAAAAAAAAAAAAAACCCACCACAACACGATATTTTCTACTTCTAAAACATTTCCAATAAAATGTCTTCATAGATTTAGACCAAAATGTATTCTGCTATATAACTTTGGAATAAAAAACAAACAAAAAAACAAAGTAGTATAGTTCCGATTGTGACCAAGATACTGACCTGTACAGACACTGAGAATAGAGGTGGCAGGGTTGTGTGTGAATGGACACACGGAGCAGCAGGTGCCCCCAATGCAAGCGGTTTACTGGAGGGAGGGCCAGGAGAGCTTGCGGGGGACCTGAGACGAGGAGGATCTGGGCTGCTCTGTGCACAATCACTACACAGCGGGTAAGTAAAGACATGTTTGCTATTTTTAGAAAAAAACATTTAAGCCTTAGTATCGCTTTAATATTTTATTGGTCTTATTTTTTGTTAGGGTGTTTATTATCGTACGGGTTCATTCTTATTACATATTTTATTATTTAGGATTACTTTTATTTGTATATTTTATTTCACTTTTTTTATTGTGCAACAAAACACTTGAAAACACGCAAATCACGCGTTTCCATTCATTTCTATGGCATTAAAAACACTAAAAAAAAATGCGCAAATATGCCCAATTTGAATGACAAAAAAAGCTCCAGAACTTGTTTGAGCTTCAGGTGTTATTCTCCACTCAGAATAATTTATTTTTTCTCCTCAAGCATTTTGGAGCTTCGAGCTACAAATCACTCGGGTGTGAGTGGGGCCTTAGAACGGACACATCAATACACCAGACCATAACTCAATGGGGAACCTGCAGCAATAGACCCCATACAACTTGACCCACGTAAGAGAAATTTAGTCAAGAGGAATGGGCAAAAATTTAAATGCAGGATGCAGATCTGCACAGCTGGGGACCAAATTGATTTCAAAATAACATTTGTCTCACAAAATATTTTGCACTTCAATTGTTATATTGAGTAAAAAAGCGAAAAAAACAAAACCACATTCTAGGTTAACAATACATGATGTAAAAAATTCCAAGGGAAATGAATACTGGTACATGTCATTGACATACTGACTTCACGCTAAATGCATAGCATAGACATCCAAAGGGCCACAAATTCATCCATATACAATGTTCCCAAGAGCAACATACTGTATATTACCCTAAGCATATTATTTCCACCATGTGCAACACAAGACAATCCTCAGTTTTAGAACACACCAGCTGCATACGCTTCTGTGGGCATTCTGCTAATATCCAGGACAAACAAGCCATCACAAATAAGACATTACTTAAATGAGTCCATGTGCACAAAGGCCAAAAAAATACACACTAGCATGTTTTTATTTGTTGTGGGGAAAACAAATGTCTCATTACTGTGGCTAGAAGTTCTGTCACCATAGTCCTCCACACGTTAAGGAATGGCATGCCCCAGTGGTACAGGATTTGGTCTACCAAGTAACTACACATCAAAGGCCCCCCATTCAAGAAAATCCTACTAACAACCATTCAGTCAAACCTTCCTGACCTTCTGCTTCCAGTATGTGACTATACACCGATTTCCTACACAAAAGTGGTGTCTTTTTTTTAACACTTAAAGCACAACTCCAGGCAAAAGAAAAAAAAAAAAAAAAAACCTCATGAAGTTGGGCTGTGCTCATTTTGTCTAGGGGTCAGCAGAAAACTCATACTCACCCGATCCTTTGGAAAAGAGCGCTCCCCACGGTCCAGCAGTGGACTGTTCCTGGTCTATGGAGCATGCGGAGGGTGTGATGAAGTCCGGAACAGTCCACTATTCAAGACCACTTGAGTGTGGGGGAGCCAGGCCAGTCTTGTGCTGGCAGGATTGGAGGAGCAGGTAAATATATCTCCACTCTACTCTCCCCTAGAAAAAACAAGCAGTTAACCCATGCAGTGCAAGCAAAACCTACTGCATGGGAAAAAGCTTTTTTGCCCAGCGCTGGGTTTTAATACAGGGGCACTCGCAGGCTGCTCATACATGCTGTTATCTATGTTTACCAGTGAGAGCAGCAGCAGTGATTGGAGGAGGCTTTCATGAATGACTAACTATTTGTTATGAAAGTCCTGAGTTGTGGTTGGAGTACAACTGGAAGCCAAGCATTGTTCTGTCACCACTGCTACTTCCAGCTGGTGAACAGACCGGCCATGTGGGTGCAGCACAGGAACAGTGCTGTTGTGAGTGTGCCTGGGGTGTCAAGTGTTAAACTGACATGCCCGCTCCCGTGTTCAGTGATGGGAAAGCACATGGGTGACAAGTGCTGCCAATCATACAACTGTCTCCTTGAAACACTGTAGTCAGAAATTGGGCAGAACTTGGGGAGCGCTTCCCTTACTGGATATCATCTTCTACAGATCCTAAAATGTTGGGGCACTGGAGCACCAAACATATGAGGGGAGTTCTTAACCACTATCCAAAAACAAAAAGTATTGTAAGCCCTAAAGTCTAAGGACTGAGGTTTGGTCAATGTCAGGTTATCATCAAGCTGGCACACTGGGGCCCATAGTTAATCCACATACTGAAGCGCTGCAATGCTGAAATTTGTAGTTCATTTCCAGCAGTGCAATGCTTCTGGGCTGGGTGAATTCTACTTTGGTCTCCACTATTTTCTGATCATCTACAGCAAAGTACTGGTGGGACCTGTAGTCCTCCCTTCTTCTAGCGCACAGCAATGCTGGGACCTGTAGTGCTTTCTCGTCTGCAGCACAGCAATGCTGGGACCTGTAGTGCTTCTCAGCAGCAGCACAGCAATGCTGGGACCTGTAGTGCTTCTCAGCAGCAGCACAGTAATGCTGGGACCTGTAGTGCTTCTCAGCAGCAGCACAGTAATGCCGGGACCTGTAGTGCTCAGCAGTTTAAGCACAAAAACTTTGGGACCTGTAGCCCACATCATCTACAATACACTATTGATGGGACCTGTAGTCCTTATACGGATATCATGGTATGCTGGGACCTCCACAAACACTACAATAATGCTGGGCTGTAGTCCCCCTCCTGATCCAAAGTACAATAATGCTGGGGCCTGTAGGTCCCCTCATCTACAGCACAGTATTGCTGGGACCAGTAATCCCCCCTCATCTTCTACTAAGTAATGCTGGGACCTGTAGCCATCCTTCCCCAACGACACACAGCAGTGCTGTGACCTGTAGTGTCCCTTCTGTGCAGCACAGTATTGCTGTAATCAATAGTCCCCCTCCTCATCTACAGCGCAGTAATGCTGGGACCTGTAGTCTCCCTCATCTACAACACAATAATGCTGAGCTGTACTCCCCCTTCCTGATCCAAAGTACAATAATGCTGGGACATGTAGGCTCCCCTCCTACAGCACATCTACAGTCCCCCTCCATCATCATCTACAGTATTTGCTGGGACCTGTGGTCCCCCTATTGAAAGTGACATCAGCCATCTACAGTACAGTACAATTTAGGAGACCTGTGGTCCTTATACACCTATCAATAAGCTATCCTTGAATGCTGGGACCTTCCTCTACAGAGTAAAACAATGCTGGGACCTGTAGTGCCCTCATCTACAGTACAGTATTGAAAGGACTTGTAGTAACTATATAGCCACTGAGAGGTCATCATGTAGTACTGGGACCTGTAGTCCCATCTAGAGTACAATAATGCCTAAACATGCAGTTCCCATCATCTAGAACAGTGTTTCCCATCCTTTAAAATGCTGCACAATCTCAAGGCATCCCTTTCTAAAATGGTAAAAAGCTAAAAACTAAGTTTCCATAGATGCAGCAACAGTTCACACACATAGGACACCCAACGCTAGAGGTGATTTATTCCTCCAAACACAGAAAGACACCTTTACACACTGGTATGTCAGCCTATAGGACCCCAGTGATGACAGAGGGGGGCAAATGGAAGGATGCCATGCAGACCCCCAACGTCCTCCTCTGATGCTGTCAGGAAGGACCAGTGACCGTCTTAAAAGGTCATAATGCTGGGTGCACAAGTACAATAAAACCTGTGTAGTGCCCCTCCTAAAGTAACTAAAAGGCCGGCTTCATCCACTCATGGCCTGGATACAATTTTTTGGCCAGCTTTTAGTCATTTTGCCAAAGCGACCCTGAAGAATCCTGAAGGCACCCCGGGGTAACTGGGCATCCTGGCTGAAAAAGGCTGGTTTACCCCTCACCATCTACAGCAATACTGCTGGGACCTGTAGTCCCCGAAGATTGGAGCACAGTAATGCTGGGACCTGTAGTCCCCGAAGTTGGAGAGTACAGAAATGCTGGGACCTGTAGTCCCCCCCCCTACCCATCCTATAGCTTATACACATAAAGCTAATGGGACTGTAGTCCCCCTCATTACCATCTATGGGTAGCACTGGGTAAAGCTGGGACCTGTAGTCCCCCTTCCCATCTATAGCATGGTAACGCTGGGACCTGTAGTCCCCCTATAGCCCATCTGGGACCTGCAGCCCCCATCTATAGCGCTGGGACCTGTAGTCCCCCTTACCATCTATAGCACGGTAAAGCTGGGACCTGTAGTCCCCCTTCCCATCTACAGCACGGTAATGCTGGGACCTGTAGTCCCCCTCCCCATCTACAGCACGGTAATGCTGGGACCTGTAGTCCCCCTCCCCATCTACAGCACGGTAATGCTGGGACCTGTAGTCCCCCTCCCCATCTACAGCACGGTAATGCTGGGAGCTGCAGTCTTCCCTCCAATCACGTACAGCATGGCATTGCACAGACCCATAATCTTTACACAGCCATTGATAAGCCATCATGTATTGCTGGGACCTGTCGTTACATTACCCACCTTCTGCCACATCCTCGTCTATGGCACCTTTGACTTGGGAGAAACACCACTGGAAGTCATTTCCTCCGGCCACTCCTGGAAGATAAGAGGAGGCAGAGAGGTGAGCCGGGCCCTGGGGTGAGGAGCCGGGTGTACAGGGAGGAGGGGAGCCGGGGCCCAGGCGCCGACTGTACAGGGTGGAGGGGAGCCGGGCCCCGGGGTGAGGAGCCGGGTGTGCAGGGAGGCGAGATGCGGGGCCCCGGGAGTAGGAGCCGGGTGTGCACGGAGGCGAGGAGCCGGGTGTGCGGGGGGGGGAAGGGAGCCGGACCCCGGGGTGAGGAGCCGGGTGTGCAGGGAGGCGAGGAGCCGGGTGTGCAGGGAGGCGAGATGCGGGTGGCACCGGGGGTAGGAGCCGGGCGTGCAGGGATGCGAGGATGCGGGGCACCGTGCAGGGTAGGAGCCGGGCGTGCAGGGATGCGAGGAGCCGGGCGTGCAGGGATGCGAGGAGCCGGGTGTGCAGGGAGGCAAGATGCGGGGCCCCGGGGGTAGGAGCCGGGCGTGCAGGGAGGCGAGGAGCCGGGCGTGCAGGGAGGCGAGGAGCCGGGTGTGCACGGAGGCGAGATGCGGGGCCCCGGGCGTAGAAATCGGGTGTGCAGGGAGGCGAGGAGCCGGGTGTGCAGGTTGTGTGAGGAGAGAGGAGCCGAGGCTCTGGTGGGGGTGACGAGTCAATGAAAGGAGCCGGGGCCCCAGGCTGTTAGGGGAGAGCCTAGCCCGCAGAGTAGGCCGCAACCCGCCTGTATTAGAGTGTACCTGCCATGGCTGCCCTCTAGGAGCAGGCCTTCCTATCCGGGGGGGGGGGGGGGGAGGAGGCGGCTTCCTTGTCGCTGGTTCAGCCCTCCCCTCGGTCGGTGGGTCGGTCTCTCTCTCTTTTTCGGGCCGGTCGGAGGTGTTCGGTAGAGCCGGGCTCTCGGGCCGGGGAGGGAGGAGGAGCCGCCCTGACACTTCGGGAGGGGATGCGGCGGTCACGAGCCGCTCTCGGCAGCTCCGGGATGGGGTTTCAAAATGGCGCCCATTGCTCGTCGACATGATTCGATGACGTCATTTAACCCTACGGCTGCCGGGAGGAAGGAGAGGAGAAGGGTGTCCTCCCCTGTGTACGGTCGTCAGTCAGTGTGTATGGCAGAGCTCTGTCCATCAGCGTACAATACACACGTATATCCTCCATTATGTATGATGCTCATCATGCCGTATTATATATCTTTCTCCATCCCTCTACACCTATCAGCCATAACATTATGACCACTGACAGGTAAAATAAAGAACACTGATTGTATCATTACAATGGCCCCTGAATGTGGGTGGGATATATTAGGCAGTAAGTGAACATGTTGTCCCTGAAGCATCAAAAATAGGAAGTGTAAGGATTTGGATGACTGTGACAAGGGCCAGATTGTAATGAGATGACGGGGTCAGAGCAACGGCAAAGCTGCAGCTGCTGTGGGCTGTTCTCGGTCTGTAGTGGTCAGGACCCACCAGAGGTGGTCCAAGGAAGGAGAAGCAGCAAACGTGGCCATGGGCAGCCAAGGCTCATTGATGGAGGTGAGGAGGGAGGGCTGACCCATGTAGTCCAGTCCATTAGAAGATCTACTGTAGCTCAAACTGCTGAAAAAAATGAATGCTGGTTCTGATCGAAAGGTGACAGAACACACAGAGCATTGCAGTTTGCTGTGTATATGGGGCTGTGTAACCACCGACTGGTCAGGTTGTCCATGCTGACCCGTGTCCACCGCCATAAGTGCCTACAGTGCATGAGCATCAGAACTGGACCACGGAGCAATGGAAGAAGGTGGTCTGGTCTGATGAATTCAATAATGGCTTGAGGAACACAACAATGAGTTTGAGGTGTTGACCTGGTCTCCTAGTTCTCCAGATCCCAATCCAATTGAGTATCTGTGGGATATGTGGGAAAAGCAAGTCCAATCCATGGAGACCCACCTTGCTACTTATAGGACTTGAAGTAGAAGTCCAGGCTAATACAATCAAAGCTTAAACCTGAACCCACCCACATTCTGTCCCCATACTAACCACCCTGTAGATCAGGGGTCTCCACACTTTCTAAACAAAGGGCCAGTTTACTTTTAGACTTTAGGGGGGCTGGACTGTGGTCAGTGGGGGTAGAAAATGCCCCAGCACCATTAGGAGTAAACAATGTCTCGGACTTGGTGGTCAGTAGGGGTAGAAAATGCCCCAGCACCATTGGGAGTAAACAATGTCTCAGACTTGGTGGTCAGTGGGGGTAGAAAAATGACATATTGCCTGTGGCCAGTAGGAGCAAGAATAGTACCCCATAATTGGTAATGATGGGAGGAATAGTACCACGTCCTTATGGTCAGCGGGAGGAATAGTGCCCAAACCTTGGTGTTAGACGTGCAATTTGATTTGTTCCGAATGGACCAATTTTTAGTTATTCAGAGATGCGGATGTATCCAACTTTACGTATTACCACAGTAACAAATTTAAACGAATCCAAACTAACAAAACGCTATTCGAAAATAATTCAAATCAAATTCTTAAACAAATTCAAAATGGAATTCGAAAACAAGAATATATATTCTGAATAAAATTGAATAGAAAATAAAGAAATAGAATTGAAAAGAATAGAATCAATTAGAATAGAAAAGAATAGAATAGAAATGATAAAAATAGAAAAGAATAGAATAGAAAAAAACAATAGAATAGAAATAACTGTCTTCTGAAATTCGAATTTAGAACAGAATGAATTTGAATAGATTAGAATAGAATATAAAAGAAGAGAGAATAGAATAGAAAATGAAAGAATAGAATGGAAAAAGGTAGAGTAAAACTGAACAAAATATAAAATAAAAAAAAACAATACAATAGAATAGAAACTAAAGGAATAGAATAGAAAAGAATATAATTAAATAGAATAGAAAATAAAATAATAGAGACAATAGAATGGAAAAAACAATAGAACAGAATAAAATACACCTGTCTTCCGAAATTCGAATAGAATACATTTGAATAGAATAGATTAGTATAGAATAGACTAGAAAAGGATAGAACATAATAGGGAAAAAAGCAATAGAATAAAATAAAATAGAAAGAATAAAACTGTCTTCCAAAATTCAAATTTAAAAAAGAATTAAGATTCAGTCAAAAATTTTTTTTAAATTCAGTTAAATTTTTTCAAATCCGGTCAAATTTGCATACAAATACGAATAAACTAAACACATTCCGAAAACAAATTTAACAAATCTAATGAAACAAATTTAGTTAATGAATCAAAACAAATTTTTTTCATTTTGCACATGCCTAGTTGGTGTCTATAAAAGGAATAGTGCCCCATCATTGGTGTCGGTGAGAAGTGTGATGCCTCTTATTAGTAGGAGAGAAGGTGCCCCAAGGGCCGGATAAAGGTAACCTAAGGGCCGCATCTGGCCCGTGGGCTACAGTTTGGAGCCCACTGCTGTAGAGGGAAGATGCCTATACTTTACCTGATCTAAGGATGCTCCAGTCTGGTCACATGATCAGCTCCCAGCAGCCAACTTCAGGGAAGAGGAGAGACGACAGACAACTAATGCCCCAAAATAAGTCTATGGGTGATGTCACCATCCAGGTGTTGCAGTCACAGGAAGCCCTCTAGTGCCACGCTGTCAGTGTGTTACAGAAATTGTTTTATAGTAACCGACGCGTTTCGGAGTAATTGTACTCCTTCCTCAGGGAAAAGACTGCACAGAGGTGATATAATCTGTGAGATTAAAAGTACATGTATTTAGAACATATAATATGTTATCTGCAACAAAACTAATATCTTATGATGGTGATGTAACAATATATTATGATCTTTGGAAAAGAGTTGTCATTTTATGTTTTGTATATCTGTGAAAATTTGATGGAAAATAAAGGATTTCTTATATTTTTAAATTCTATGTATCAAGGCATTTAACCACCTCCCGCCCGCCATATAGTCCAATGAAATGACGGACGCAAGGTGGTTCTCTCGTTCTGGGAGGACGTCATATGATGTCCTCCCACTCTCACCGCACATGCGCGGCTCCGGGAGCACGCAGTGTGGCGATCGGCGGTGTGCTGTGTCCCCCGGACACAGCGGATCACCGATCAACGGAAAGAGCCGAAGATGTCGGTTCGGTCATGTGATCAGCTGTGTCCAATCACAGCTGATCGCATGTAAATAGGGAAATACCGGTTATCCGCATTTCTCTCCTCACAAGCTGTCACGATGACAGCGCGTGAGGAGAGGAGAGCCGGTAATCGGCATTCTTCCGAGGAGACGTGCACTAATCATCAGGGCACTGATGATCAGTGTAGCCCCAGCAGTGCCACCTGTCAGTGTCCATCAGTGCCAGCTCTCAGTGCTCATCCATACCACCTGCCAGTGCCCATCAGTGCCACATATCAGTGCCTACCAGTGCACATCAATGCCACATATCAGTGCCCATCTGAGCTGCCTTTCAGTGTCACCCACTAGTGCCACCTATCAATGCCAATCAGTGCCACCTATCAGTGCTGCCAATCAGTGTAGCCTATTAGTGCCAGTCAGTGCCGCCTATCAGTGCCAGCCAGTGCCGCCTATCAGTGCCGCCTGTCAATGCCCATCAGTGCCACCTATCAGTATCCATCAGTGCAGCCTATCAGTGCCCATCAATGCAACCTCATTAGAGCACATCAGTGAAGGAGAAAAATCACTTATTTACAAAATTTTATAACAAAAACTAAGAAAAAACTTTTTTTTTTCTAAATTTTCAGTGGTTTTTGGTTTGTTTAAGAAAAAATAAAAATCCCAGAGGTGATTAAATACCACCAAAATAAAGCTCTATCTGTCACAAAAAAATGATAAAAATTTCATATGGGTACAGTGTTGCATGACCGCGCAATTGTTATTCAAAGTGTGACAGCGCTGAAAGCTGGAAATGGGCCTGGGCAGGAAGGGGGTATAAGTGCCCTGTAGGCTAGTGGTTAAAGTCCCATTCAAATCGGGGGGTTCTCCTATATCTGCTTAATATTTTGGGGAAGATGGTGGCTTATTATCAGGTTTTTTTTTTTTCCTTTTTCACTTTTTTTTTCTTTTTCTCATTATTAAAAAAGTGGGACAAAGCACATTAAGGGTCGGTTCAATCCGTAGAATCACAGTCTGGATGCGTTTCTGTATGCGCGTTTTTGATGCATTTTTGATTAGTTCTGGTTCATTTTTTTTCCCTCTCTTTTTCTTCAACTTAAATAAGAACATGTGCATGCCAGTGCATTTTGGTTGAATTCCAGTGCATTTTTGGTACGTGTGTGATGCGTTTTTCTGCGCTCCAGTACAGTTCAGTGCAGAAAAAAATGCAGTATGTTCTACTTTTCTGGAAGTGGAACGCACTGGAACTGACCGCACTGGTGTGAACTATGCCATTGGAAACCATTTAACCTACTATCAATGTGTTTTTGATGCAGAAAAAAAAAACTGCACTGGACTGCATGTGGTGTATGCTAACACATGTTTGGATGAATTTTCATTGATTTCAGTACACCGTATTTCAAATTATTATGCAAATGATATTTTTCTCATTTACCTAAATAATTGATGTAAATAACAGTCAGCATAATTCTTACAGCTTTGGCTGTACTTCTCCTTTAAGCCAGTTGGGTAACTTAAAGGAGCAAGCGTCTACCAGAACATTTACAGTACATATGTAATTTAAAGCTGTAAAAATACTATCACCTAAATTTATCTTTAAAAGGTGTCCCAATTTTCCATCTAAAAGTGTTTTAAATCTGTATACAGCTTCCAAGAGACCCTGTTGCTGACAAAAATGCAGGAAAAAACACAAAAAAATCAAGTATTATAAATGCTTGCTTGCAGTGTTTTCTTTCTTTCCATAAGTTATTATTTTTTAATTATTTTGCCATGTGCCTTTAAAAGGATAAGTTCACCTTTATACAAAAAATAATAAATGTACATATTTTTACAGGCAAAAAATGTGCATTTATTTATTTTTTTTTGCAGGAGCCTGTAAAGCATTGCACCGGCAATCAGAAGATCTCTGGTGCCCTGTAGGTCTCCTGCAGACCTGTCAGTATATCTGCTTCTCCATAGGGGATGTACAGATATACAGACAGGAAGACTCAATGAGCTATCATGGCATTCCACAGCTCCATTGAAAACTACAACCCAACAGTCGCTAAGGCTGTCGGAACTTGTAGTTTCTCATTCACAGAACACTTTTATTTAAAATTTGACAGCTAGCGAGGGAGGAGAAGACCCCCCGCTAGCTGTCAAAGCAGGAGAGCGGGGGCTGGTGCATTCCTGAATATGGGTGTAACATGTTATGAAAGGTGAACTTATCCAGAGCAATTTTTTCCTTTCTGCTATGGTCCTGTATATTCTGTATTTTTTTGGTTTGATAACTCAGTTCGGTTCGATCAGTTATTTGATAACTTTCTCATTACTAAAGATAAAGATAACAAGGTAATACATATATTATCATTTTAAAGCGGAGTTCCACCCAAAAGGGGAAGTTCCGCTTTAAAGATTGGTCCCTGCTCCCCATTAAGGATTGGCACCTTTGGGGATCGGGGGGAGAGAGCGGGTACCCGAAATCGACAGGTACCCGCTCCCACGTCCGCTGCAATCGCCTAGGCAATCGGAAGCAGAAGTTGTCCTCCTACCCTCCCTCCCCGTAGTCTTGTGGGACACGTGACAGGTCCCAGAAGACGACGGGGTCATTCAGAAAGTGCAGTGCTAGTCTCGCATGCGCAGTGGGCACCCAGCTATGAAGCCGCGAGCTGTCACAGCCGGGTGCCCACACTGAAGATGCCGGCGCCTGGAATACAGAACAGCCAGTGAAATGGGATGCATTGGATCGTGGGATAGGTGAGTGGTTGTTTTTTTAAAAGTCAGCAGCTACAGTTTTTGTAGCTGCTGACTTTTTTTTTTTTTACAGTGTGAGTGGAACTCCGCTTTAAGGACAAACAAGACTTTCTTTTCATGATATTGTCTTGCAACACTTTTTTTTCACTATCCTTAGGCAAATAAATGGAACAAAACTAAACAAAACTTTTTTTTAAATTAGCAGTGTTGGTTTAAAAATAAATAATGTTACTGCAGATACAAATTATGCATCTAATCCTGTTTAAAATGACATTACAATTATGATTCTGGTACAAAGCACTACAATGTTATTTACAAATGAAAGAAACTGTGGTTTTTATTTTCAATTTTGCTCTTTTTTTAATGTGAAATGTGTGAATATATGTTAAATGTGCAAATATAGTCAAACAAAAAAAACAAAAAAATCATCAGAAAACTAATTAAATGAGGAGTTAATTAGGGCTGATAAGGGTTAATAAGGGGATAAACAGAGGAACATTTAAAAAAACAACAACTTTCTTTTACTTGTCAGGTTGTTTTAGGAGAAGTGTGGCAAAAGCTTCTTTGACCCTACTTCAACTATGGATCACAGGAGTGCATTTCATTCTGCACTCCTGTGACTCATTTTCAGCCAACAGTCACTCAATGCAACATCACTCAGCCGGTCCAGGCTCTGAATCGAGATTATGCAGTCGGGATTCACTCAGATGCCTGGATAGGCAGTTGGTTCAGCCTCTGGGCGAGTCGCTGAGAGCCTGAGCCAGCCCCCCTCGCCCCCTCCACAGCACGGTGCTCCAGTGAGTGCTGGAGGGGCAGATGACTGACAGTCATGGTTTTCTGCTCAGAGTGGAGGGGAGAAATGAGTTATCAGTGGTGTTTGATCGCTCAGTTCTTAATGCAGAGTTGGCGGCTGATAGATGCAGCATCAGACCAATATTGCATTCACCTAGGTGGATATAATTTCTTTTTTTATCCAATCCATACTTCTTTCTTTAATTGACATCATCCGCAGATCAAAGTTCATCCCTTTGATCTGAAGATGAATGAACAAAATTATACAAACGTAACATTATGTTACTTTGTATCTTTCTATATTTTCTATAGCCACTTGAGCTCCAGTAGAGTTTACCCCCTTTATGGCCAGGTCAACAAAAAGTGATCCGTATTCTTACCTATGTTCAATCCGTTCTGGTCTGATCACAAGATCGTGCAGCTGCCACTCACTGACTGCAGGATCATGTGACCAGAGCACATTAGAAATAGGTAAGTACACAGATCTGTAGTACACAGGTTAGTCCTCATGCACACTGGACATTTTTACAGCGGCTGTCTTTGGATTTTTTTTTACAGCAAGTAAACTCCACAGCATGTTATCCTATGTGTCCATGCACACATAGACTGTAATCAACGTTTTTGTGGCAGGGACGTTTTTTTGGCTGGAAAAAAACCCAGGACTAGTGGGCTTCTAGAGGAGTTCTTTAAGCTGTAAAAACGCTCTAACGCTGAAAAACGAGGTAAAAACGCAGTAAATCATGGTAAGCCAGCATTTTTTAACAAAAAAAAACCCTCTAAAAAACACAAAACATGAAAAACGTTTCATTGCTGTGCATGCGCAGGTCAGAGCTGATGACAAGGGAATTTTTAATGGGTAGACATTTCTGTCCATGAACAGGAGAAAAGTGCCTGTTTTTTTTTTTTTTACAAACCATCTATTAAATTACAGAAGGTAACACAGGGCTGGGGTGTACACATGCTGCCACTCTGATGTTTTGTTTCGTAGCCATGACAGAAATTATACTCTCTGTTGCTTTCTGTGTGCACAGTGCCTGATAACTGTGTTATATTCAAATGAATGGGGCTGCTCTGCGAGCACCTCAAAACTGCATAAGGTTGTGGTGTACTAATGTGGGGTTCCAGGGGTTAAAGCAGGCAGTGAGGGAGGAGGTGATACAATAACCCCTTCTACCAATAGTACTTCAGGTGTCTCTGGACATAAAATCAACTCTGCAAGTCTGTGAAAGCTCCTAGAACAGTGGTTCTCGACCTGTGGGTCGCGACCCCTTTGGGGGTCAAACGACCCTTTCACAGGGGTCGCCTAAGACCATCGGAAAACACATATTTCCGAAGTGTACAGAGCAGCTACTGTGTAGAAAGCAGCTGCTGTGTTGAAAGCAGCTGCTGTGTTGAAAGGAGCTGCTGAGTTGACAGCAGCTACTGTGTTGAAAGCAGCTACTGTGTTGAAAGCAGCCGTATTGAAGGTAAAACGACACATGAAATATAATTACTGGGTAAAGAATTTTATGGTTGGGGGTCACCATAACACGAGGAACTGTATTAAAGGGTCGCGGCATTAGGAAGGTTGAGAACCACTGTCCTAGAAGAACAGGGAGCAGGCTGGGGAGAAAAGAGAGGAAGATGAGGATAGTTCAGTCATAGAGCAGTGCTCAGTGTTCACTCCCATCCCAGGCTGGGATCTGGAGAATCAGGCTGCAGCATCATTCATGCGAGCAGGATGTAGCTTCCAACCACTGTACTTCATATCTCCCGCCCACATCCCCTTTCTGAGGCACAGCACTGGCTGTGTACAGGAATGTGGGTGGGGGCAAACAAGAGGAGAGGTGTGGGAGCAGCTGGAGCAGATTAAGCCCTCTCTCCTGTCCTGTCTATTTAGAGGAGAGGGGGAGACAGTGG